TGAACTGAATTAAGCAAAAATAGGAAAACTAATTAATCTCATATGAATTAAAGATACTAAATACATAATTTTTTTAATTCCACAAAGAAAACTCCATGCTCTGATGGAACCTGGTGAATTCTATCCAACATTTAATTACTAACACCAGTCTTATACAAACTGTTGGAGAAAATGCAAGAGGAAGAAACACTTTCCAAATTGTTTTATGAGGTTAGTAATACCCTGATACCAAAGCCAGATAAAGGTGTCAAAAAAAGTAACTTCAAGTCAATGTCACTCATGAATCCTTAAGGAAACTTCAGCAAGTGGAATCCAACATATTATGAGCAAGAACAATTTATCTCAGGAGGCACCTTTGGATGAATATATAGAAATCAATATAATGTATCATATTAATGTATCAAATCTCTCAGCACACTGTGAGTAAAAGGCCACTTGTTTAATTTGATGAATGACATCTACGGAAAAGCTAGAATTGACATCATACTTTATGGTGAAAGACTGGATACTTTTTACTTAATGTAAGGAACAAGATAAGGATGCCAGCACTCACCATTTCTACTAAACATCTAATACATTTCTATTGTACCAGAGGTCCTAGCCAGAGCATTGACCAAGGAAAAGCAATAAAAGAGATAAGTAAAGATAAGATAAAATAGAAGTGAAGTGTATTCATTTGCAGGTGACGTGATTGTATGCACAGAAATTCCCCAAAGATAGCTTCTAGAACTAACAAGTAAATGAAAGGAGACTGCAGGCTACAAGGTCAATTGGGTTGCTATGTACCAGTAAGGTAACATTAAGAAAATGAATAATTTAAAATCCCATTCATAATAGCATCAAAATAAAATACTTAGGCATTATTTTAAAGAGAGTGTGCCAGATTTAAACGCTGAAGTCTATATACTACTCCTGAGAGAAAATAAGGAAAAACTAAAGAAATGGGGATAAACTCCGTATTCACTTATTGGCATTGTCAATATTGTTAAGGCCCCAGTTCTCCCAAAATCAATCTATACATTGAGAGCAATTCAATTCGGAACCCTAAACTCTAATCAAGACTCTGACAGTGTCTCTTAAGAAACTTACCTGCTGATTCTACAGTTTATATGCAAATACAAAGGACTTTGAATAGTCAGAACAATGACTGAAAAGGGAGCTCAGGTCTCCTGTCATCATCCCTGTGGCCACACGAGGGCGCCACCACTCTGCTCTCTCCTATTCAGCATAGCTCAAGAAGCAGAGGGGCTGTGGTCTGAGTCAGAGATGGGAGAT